GAATTAATTCTGGAGTCTCGGGAAAAGTCCGTCGTCGGCGCCCTAGTTCAAATCTTCACATTTTGGTCATTTTCGCTCCAAACTCGCTCATTTTTGCATCTTTTTTCTCCAATGACCCTAATTCATCATTCATGCAACAAAACATCAAAAATACATTTCCAATATGTGCAATATCATCAAAAACAATATAAAATATGTATGAAAATCTCAACATATTTTTCTTTGGTCAATAATAAAGAAAAAATAGAAATAGAAAAGAGGAAGAATATTTCAAACTTCAACTCTAAGCTATTTAACTAAAATTCTCTTAAAGTTAGAAAATTTTTGCTCGTTTCCCTGGCAATGATGCCAAAATCTTGATATCTGAAATTGCAATAACACAAATTAATCAATTGTGCAAGCATACACATTGATCAAGTAGTATATAGATTATGAGTCCCTGTATTAATCTCACAAGAAAAGTTATTAAAATATTAGAATATGCAAAATTCTAGTTTACTAAATCTCTGTATCTAGTTTAAAGTATGAGATGCACAAATGCTAAAAGTCTTACAATCCTAAGAGGTAAAAACTAGACTGAGTTTAATGAAGTTTTTTAGAGATGAAAGGATCATATTCCTGTGACACCACTCAAGTGGCTTCTCAATGTTTGCCTATAAAACCCACATTATTATTGAAAAACAATGACATGTCCTTAACCTCTATCTAGATCATAAGAAGAGTTGAAAAATATAGTACAATTAAAGGGACTTAACCATGTAGCATCTTTTAAGAATCCTCTCTATCTAGGTTGCAATTTTCTGTTGGTAATATGTTGATTCCACTATTCTATTGTGTGTTAATCTACTTATTTTTCTAGGCGATTGTTAGAAGTCCAATCACAAGTAATTTTAATACTCTTTTGGGTCAGATTTGAAGTAAGCTAAGCACAAAAAGTTAACACATCAACATATGAAATCCGCACTAAAAAGGCATTTATGGAACAAAATTTATAGTAGAATATAATGAGAAAAATACATGTCTTACATCATAGGAGTATAAAAAAAAAATTAACTACTATACATGAGAAAAGAAAGCACGAAAATTATTATTGCGACCATAAAAAGAAAATAATTCAAGAGGTACAAAAATCTTAAACTAGTCGGTTCTTGTAATAGACCATGATCCTCTCTGTTCAATACAAGCTTTTCGTATATCTCTCTCATAAAATTGCACTCTCTCTCCTTACAACCTCTCTAAACTCACAAGTAAATAACCTTAGGAATTTTCTCCAAGGAAAACCATTGGAGAGAGCTCTAAGGTTGACAAAGACTACTAAACTTGAAGAGAAGCAGCCTCCACCATGTCCAAGAGTAATTCTACTCATGCAAATATGTATATAATTAAGACATCCATTAGGCAATAATCTATTCCAAGATTGATTTCTTCGCCAGTCATTGGTGGTAGAGAGTCACGGGTGAGCTGGTCCAAACATGTGTACTCTCATGGAGCGACATGGAATTGGGTGTGGGTGCTCCAATTTCTTAAAATTAGGTCTTCTCTTATGCCTTCTCTCATGCCTTCTTTCTTTCATGCCTTATCTCATGGATCGGCATGGAATTAGGTGTGGTATAAGATTAAATTTTCCTAAAATTAGGCCTTTTTTCATGCCTTCTCTCATGGAGCGTCATGCAAATGGGTGCATTATAAGATTAAATTTAGTGGCTTATTTATAATTTTCCAAAAGATCTTCTTTCATTTGGATAGCTAACTCAAGTCTTAAAATTAGGCATGTATTGCATCTTCTATGGAATTGGGTGTGGGTGTGCCGGTTTCGGGCGTAGGTGCGCCATGTTAGAATCCTTTTCTTTCCTCTTTTGGCTCATCAATTTGTCTCTTTTGCTCTCCCAAATGGCTTAATCCATTGTAACCTATAAAATACAACAAAATACCTTCAGCAAGTGTAATATTATTCATAAATATGCAATAAAATATGAATTTACATAAGAAAGCATCTCACATACTTCATTTAAATCAAGAAGCCAAATGTTGATCAAGTCGCCTTCTTTCATTGTCATCATTGCATCCATGGATGCCACATATTGAATGTACAAGAAAGGTGGAAAGAGTATTTAAGATGAGATAGAATTACTTTGCATTATTGTATTTTGATTAGTTCATTTGTAATCAAATTTAAGCGCCAGTGGTGTTGTCGCAAACTTGAGAGCGAGAAGGATGTTTTGACTTAACTCTGTTGTCGAAGGATGTTTTGACTTAACTCCGTTTTGACTTAACTCCAAAAAAAAAAAAAGTTCCTTTATTCCTTTGTATAGTTTTTAACTGTTATTTTTTTTAATTTAGCTTTTTGTTTTTTTTTTTAGATTAATATTTTAGCAGCTAAAGTTTTTATTGATTAATGAGAATTTTTTAATGTAACAATAATAATGGCTTAAATCAATTTGCATGACATTAAGTTATTTTCATAGTTACATTTAGTTTAATAATAGTTTTGTTTAAAAAAAGAAGATATGATTTTTCTAGTTTCTATACCATTTCACATTCTTGAAATTTGTCATTGCCAGACCAAAAATTCTTTTCTTTTGTACAATGATTAACAAGTCTTTATATTGTAGAGATATAATGCAACTTCACCATTATTCAAATAAATAAATCATTTTCTTCAATATATCATTAGGATTTTTTTTTAAGTTGGATTTTGAAAAAATTCAATCACATGAACTTCGTTGTACAAAACCTAAATACACTCATTTTCACTTCAAAACAGAGTTAGCAATACATCATTCAAGCATTGCCAATTTAAAAAACTGTTATTAATATATGAGTCCATAAAATATGGGGCATCATGCATGCCAAAAAGCATCATTAATATAACTAAATATGCTTTCCAAATGGATCCATATTCTGACATGATTTTTTTTCCCCTTGTATTGATGCTCGAAATATTTTGATAAATATGTTTCAAAAATTTTTAATCATTATTAATATTTGAAAAGGTATCCATAAATGTTTATTTTTTTTTTCATATGCATAAGGTTTAGCCTTTTGCACAATATTGGAAGCTAGAAAAATGCAAATCAAATAGGAAAGGGAGCCTACCTAACTTCCCTATTTTCATCCCCTCTCCCATTTGTTGTATAAATATGGTATGAGTAAGCTAAAAGAGTGAGTGAAAAATCTAAAACAACTTGAAATAAGAAATCATCTATTTAGAAGCCTATGATTATTTCATATTAGTTACTTTAGCATCAAAACTCTAAATTTTTATGTTAATGAGAACACTTAATCATAGCAAAAGCATCCTATGATTATTAAGTATGATGGACCACTAAATTCAATTCACATGTCATAATTGCTCTCAATAGTCCTAGGCTTATAATAAATAATATAATGCTTAATAGTTAGCTCAAGAAATGTTAATATCAATAAGTTTTCAATGAGTCCCATGATATCTTTTAGCTTTCCTTATACTCCTTGTTGATTAAATCGTGGAATCAATAAAACCAACAATCTCTTTTCCTATGAGAAACATTTCTTATTGGTCCTTAATCCCCTACTCTTGTGGGATCTTTAGTGTACTAGAGTCTTCATATATCATAAAACCCTTCAAAGATAAAGCCCCAAATATAGAGAGAATTTGTAAAAATAAAACATTAAAACAAAAACTAAGTAAATTATATATTAGCCATCCAAAAAAACAAAAGATGTTCAATACATGAAACATAGGTAAAAATCACACCACATACATAACCCCCCCATACAACCAAACACCTCCTCCTCCTCCTCCCCTCCCACATATCACATAACCAGCTCCTCCTCCTGATGAGTCTTTATAGTAACATCAGACTTGGGCAAAGCCAGACAAGTCAGCACCCATCCCTCACTAACCTGATCATCATCCAGAAAACTTTGATCCGACTGATCAACGTTACCCTTCACCACCTTCCCTGCACACGAGGAGCATGCACCAGCCCTGCAGGAGTATGGCAGATCTATTCCTTCCTCCTCTGCTCTATCCAGAATGTACTCGTCGTCTGGACAGTTCAGCTCCACAACTCTGTTCGGGGTAACAAGCGTCACCTTGTAGGTAGCCATGGCTGACACTCTGCCACCCCTGCTTTCACTGGGCTTGAGGCCGAAGAGTGAGCAGGGTTTTGGGCGGCAGATGGAGCGGATGGAGGAGATGAAGGGGTGGTGGTTGATGAGGGTGAGGGAGGATTCCATTGTTGGTGGTGGTGGTGAGGGGGAGAGATGGAGGGTAAATAGGAGGGAGAGGGGGAGGGTTTGGATGGTGGGGAGGGAGGAGACGTGGAGTTCGGTTTGTGGTGGGCTTATCTCTTTGGTGTGTGTACTTGGTGGAAGGGAGAATTGGTGCTGATAAATGGGTGGGAGTTTATTTCTGGTTTTTTAGATTTTAGGATGTGGTGTAGGATGAGCATGGGTACAATTTTTTATAGCGTATTAATTGCTCCTTTTTTTTTTGACTAATTTATTCTTTTTTTCCAAAAAAATTAAAAAAATAAAATTTGGTACGGCGAAGGCGGCAAAGGTGACATGCGGTGAGCAGCGCGACGAGCATGTGGTATTGGGAGATGTGGGTCGGAGCGGGTCACGGGTCACGGGTCACGGGTCACGGGCAGAAACAATTAAGCATGATGGCCGAAAGGGGCCATGGGATGTGTGATGCGCAAGCTGTCGGCCAGATTGGCTCATAAGATTCCCAAAACCATTTGTGTGTATGCTTACCTATATGCATGCATTTGTGCACACTTGTGTACGTATGCACCTGTGGAGCCATGAAACTCCAAAATTTTTAATATTTTGAATTTTGGCACCTAAAATCTAATTTTTTGCCAACAAATGAGTCGAAAAGATAGGAGAGAAAACACACTTCTTCTCCAAATGCTAAAGTGACACTTGGGCTATCGTTGTCCCTCCTTTCTCGTCTATTGTTGTTACTTTTCTTCTGGGTTCTTTTTGCCCAACACCTGACCTATTGTTGTGAATTTTCTTTTGGGTTGGTTTTGCCCAACATATAGCTTGTTGTTGTGTCTTTCCTTATAGTTTGTTGTTGCCCAACACCTGCCCCGTTGTTTTACATTTCCTTCTTGGCTATTGTTTCCCAACATCTGGTATGTTGTTGTGTCATTCCTTCTAGATTGTCGTTGCCCAACACCTGACTTGTTGTTATGTCTTTCTTTCCAGGCTGTTATTGCCCAACATATGACATATTATTATGCTTTCCTTCTGGAATATTGTTGCCTAACATCTGGCATATTGATGTGTCTTTTGGGGGAGATTTTTCACGCTTTGAAATGCTAATGTCCATATAATCTAACCCCTCTGAAAATTAGAGGAAGTACTAGAATCTTGAGGAGGCAATATCGACACTAATTAAAAATATGCTTATATTTTTCTGAAAAAAATTTACTTTTTTTGAATGGCCAGGTGGTTAGGTTTTAGAATTTGTTAGATCGAGCATATTCTCCACCACTCGAGCATAGACAAGCTTACCACAGGGGTAATTCACTGCTTATGAGACGAGCTTACCACAAGGGTAATTCATTGCTTGTGAGACGAGCTTATAATGGTGAGCTTCGATTGCTACCAGCTCCTGAGTTAGTGGGCGCTTTATATGAGTTTATTTGTCACATTTATGGAGTGTAACACAACATTTTCCTTAGAGATAGTGGCAAAGATAGATAAATTTGTTTCTAATATTCATGACTATACTACTTATGGAAGTGAATGGCTAGAATTTCAAATAAAGGATGCACCAAAAAATTGAGCCAATCAATTATTCTTTCCGAAAAATGATTGAGGTCGTCTTTTCAAGAAAAGCATAAAGCTAATGGAGCTACCCCTTCCTCCTCAGGTTGTGGTAGTGGTCATAATGAGGATTCTTAGACTGTGAAATATCGAAGAACTTTAATGCGAGGTATATGACCCCAAAAAATATTTGATGGAAGAATCTCTATTTAATATTGGCCTCTTCATTCAAGCATGAGACACCCACTTTGTAATGTTAAACAAGTCGCAACAATCAAAGGAGGAATCCAAGCAAGTTCCACAAGTACAATTTTCTCTGATAAATCCTTTGAAGATTCAAATTCCTAAAAGAACGTTGAATCACATGTTCATAGGGCTTTCACTAATTGAATAACATGTAATCATCTTTAGCCTAATTTAACTTTATACTATATATATCTATATATATATATATATATATTCCGCTTATGACATATATTTATCTGCTTTAAGTTATGAAAAATATGGATTTAAATCTCAAGCTAGACATTTTCTTAAAGACATGGAACACAGAGTTTATGAAGATAAAATATCTTTTAGGCAAGTATATACAGAGGTATAATGTCAGTGCAAAAAGATCAACTAACAGAGTGTACGACATAATTATTCACCGTGACAACTTTTCTCTCTCTGCAAAGTTGAGAGTTGTAGAATACTCAAGAAGAACTGATGGAAATATAAGCTAATCTTAATCAGAATATTAATAATTTAAGGGATATTCAAGTGAAGATGTTGGCTATTAAAGTGGAGAAAAAAAATGGTGTAGACTTGGTGTATAGGAAAATAGTTCAGGCATTTGGAAAGGGGTTCATATGATGTACCATTATGTTGGCATCAATTTTTGATGTCACGAGTGTAGGGTGTCCACTTGCACGACTCGAGATGGTCTACGATTTTTCTGTAGCATCCGGTAGTTCAAGACACCCACTCAAGAATCTCTAGAACTTGTTCGGGGCAAGAAACTAGAGTCGACGTGATTCAACCCTACCATGGAGAATATGTTATTAGAGGGGTCATTTAAGAAGTGAAACAACTTAGTGCCTATTTTGATGATTAGAAGTCACCACACGTCCTTCTGGAGCCTCTCATGGCCAAGGGAAGTCATGATATTCTCCTACACGCGCTGCGAGAAAGTTAGAATTTGGGACTCCCTACTAGTGTCGTGGTTTAGGACGACTGTTGTCACCAATTTGCCCAGTGAATGAATGACGATAATTCATTATTTTAGAGTTATGAGATTATATTTTACTCACATGGAGTTTTCCATAGCTTATGGATCGAAAAAAAAATCTTTTATCGGGTGTTTCCGATGAAAATTAGGGTTTCAGTTCAGACTAGCGCCCTGGCTCCGACCTTGGGCGCCTAGATGCCCGAAAATCCCTTCCCAGACATCCAAACTCAAGAGCACAAAAGTTTGACACCCATATTTGGGTGCCTAGGCGCCCACTTTCCCAAAAAGATAATGTTCTTGAGCCACATGGGTGATGCCTATACGCCAGAATTGGCACCTCAGTGCCAGAATCTTGGTGTATGGCGCTAGGTCACTTCCTAGACGATGAATTTTTACCGTTTTGACGTTGTTTCGACCCTCGACATCGTCAGAATGACAGTGATAGCCTCGAGATGAAAAAGGTGGGTGGCTAATCTCCCTTTTGCCCTCCACTAGAAGCAGCCCATGCTTCTTTTGGAGGGCTTTTCACCCATTTTAACAGGTCGAGCTGCTTAAACCCAGGGGAAAACTTCATTTCCCCCCATAGATGCCAATTGAGTGGGTTGGTCGCTCTCCCTCTATGGCTCCCTCTCCTTCTTCTTTGATAAGTTGAGAGAGCTTGGAGAGAAAGGGACTCCTCTTCCCAATCATATTGTTCGTCCTTATTTCTTTCTCCCCCTCATTTTTCTCATTATTTTCCATATTTTGTGAGGGTGTGAGAGGGTTTTTGTGAGGAGAAAATCAGGAGCAAGGTGCTACACTCCTATGCTAGAGGCGAGCTTCCTGCATGTGTAGCCAAAATGCCTCCAGAGGAAGGAAAGTCTAGGCTCGACAGTAAGCCCTCAAGACTACTCCCTAAAGGTGTAACCAATAAAGATTTGTGATGGTAGAAATCACTATTTTGGTTGATTACAATTCACTTCCTTGTTGATCTCCATCAAAGTAGAGCATTTGCTATGAATTCATGATTTGACGTTCTAAAAGGATTCAACACTCACCTTGTGCTTCTCCTATTTTTATATCAATTTGAAGATAATAGATTATGCCAATATATATATATATATATATATATATATATATTTGCATTAACTCAAATGACATTATTCTTGTACTAAAATTGATGGAAGTTCATTATATAAGACCTAAGAGTTGAGTTACCTCGAGTATTGTGAGCGAGATCTCCCATAAATATTGAATTTTTTTCTTACCACTCGCTCAAAGTAACTAACATTTATTAAATGAAAAACATATCACTCATTATTAGAGATGTCATCTTTATTATTTGCATCAAGTTCTTAGCTAATTTATAGGCTTGTCATCCTACTACTAAGATTTTAATCATTCATCATATGTATGCATGTATATTTTATTTTCTTAACTTTGTTTTATATAATCAATTTCATTTCAACGATTCATGTTTGACATATAGATAATGATTGGCCTTACCACTCTCCCTAATAATGACTTGTTTGTGATGCATAAAATATGCCTATAATTATAAACATAATATCTCAATATAAAATCTATCAAATATGACATGAATATTGTCACATAAATGCATTGTCATATTAACATATGCTGGTGATCATAAGTATAATTATACTCTAGACTGTTTAAATTTATGTGACTCTCTGTTATAGTTGTAATCATTCAATGATATTAAGCATCTAGCCAATATATGCATCATATACCATCTATTTCATTTCTCATACTGCATGCCTACTTTTGGGCATTTCCAATTTATATATTACTAATTGTATTTCTTTTAGATTTGAATACTTTTATTTCTATAGTTGTTTCTTCCATATCTTTTTCATTGGATGTTGTATTATCCCTTGTTAGACTATCACTATCATCCATTTGTTATACTCACCAAAATGAGCTCAACAAACTTATATGGGCTCATTGAAACAATGGAATGACTGTTAACCACGAACTTTTTATGACCCCAGCATTATTAGGGTTTTTTACATATGGAGGTCACTAAATAATGCTTATTACACGTCGCGGTCTCAAAAAAATCAAATATACGGTGGAATGTCTTCGGTTACGGCCTCCGTCTTCACCACCCGTCGAATCTCCGACTGAAACGCCGACTGTCGGTTCAACGGCCTGCTCCTGCCGATCCAATCCAACGGTTTGAAGAAAATAGTTACATCAATACCAACACCAAAGATGAAACAGTAGCAGCCACCGCATATATCCAAGTTCTTCTTCTTCCTCCTCATTTCAATGTTCTTTGGGTCTGCCACATGTAATAAACATTGTTTGAGAACCTCCATATGTAGAACCTTATTATTTATCATAAAAAATAAATTATTAAAATAGCAAAACTCCTTGGCCGGTTTTGCCAGCCAAATGACCAAATAATACACTTTAAAATTTTCATTTTATTTTCAATAAAAAATTTATTTTTCTTTTTTGAATGGCCTTATTTGAATTTTTTTTTTTTGGCAACCATCATACTTAAAATATATTAAAATATATTAAAATATAAAAAGCAGCTTCCCATTTCAAAATAATTACAGCAAGCTAAAGTGTAAAAGCATTTTAAAAAATAAAGCAATGCAAAAATTCTCTTAAACAGAAGAAAATATTGTGTCCGGATGCAAATGCATAACAGTATGGCCACATCCAAGCTACACGCACGCACAATATTTTTCCTTAAAAAAACATGTATTGTACCTCTTTCCTAAATTAAGGGTCTGTTTGGAGCAGTTTATTTGGTGCGAAGACGTTTTGAAAACGCACTTGGACTGTTTGGGTAAACTGCGTTTTGACAGTTTATGCATTTTAAAAATGCTAAAAGTGGTGTTTACACACCGCACATATCGCAACTTCCTGGCAGCGGTCTGGCTTTTCCAAAAAAATAAAAATTTCTAATAGTCACCGCACCTAGCTTACCGCACCTAGCTTATCAACAACAGATTATTTTTAATCACATTATCAACAGATTATTCAATAAGCTGCAGCTGCCCCCAACAGACCCTAAATTTATCAAAATTATGATTACTTCTGCTAAATAAGAAAAAAAAAATGTTGACAATTACCTACAACCTCCCACAAATTGTAGCTTTAAATTTCTTATTCCTATCACATCTAAAATGTCTCACCGTTGCAATATTAGTTTATCATTCCTAACACAACATTAATAACATGCATTCGACTTATTACCACATCAATTTTCTCAGCTTGCCCAAATCATGAAAGTTAATTTTTCCCTTGGGGCATCTACATAAATACAACCCAATTCTTAAGTATTTACATATCTAACTCCTAAATTTAAACTTTTACATTATACCAATCACAAATTTCATATCATATAAAAAAATACCAATAATCTAACTTTCAAAAAGTGAAATACACGTCTTCAAACTTCAAACAATTCCTCCTAAAAAATCTTAAGAATAGAATCTAAACCAAATGAACCTTGGCATTACATGCCTTTCTCTATATTTTCTTAAAACATTTTTCTTGTTAAAATCTACCTCAGAATTTGCACAAATGCAAAATGACACTGAAACAATCTTCATGTTGCAATTTGACAATGTAAAATTACTACCAATCAGTATTTTCTGCAAATTTCAGGAATTGTTTGCTTCGAACTAAAAAAGACATTTAAAATTACAGTTACATAACCTGGACTGTCTGAAAGCACACAGAAAAGAGCTTACTGGTATAACTCCATTAATCCCTCCACCGATGGCCGCAGCTTGGATTGCAGCAGACAAAGAACAATGCCATTCCTTCCTCCCCTTCGGCTGCAGCCTGCAAAGTCATCGGATAAAATATTGATGTATGAATACTAAATTTTGCTTTTATTTTTAAAAATATGTTTGTTAAGAATGATTTTCACATATTTTTTATATTTTGTTTGAAGAAATAAATAAACTTAATTTTTTAAAGGCACTCAAAACAATTAAAATTTATTTTTAGTGTTCTTAAAAATAAGTAGATTTGCCTTTAATATTCCAAATATATTTTATTTTAAATCAAAACTTAAATAAAATAAAAATTAAATAGAAAATAGAAAGAAAAAAAAACAGTAATTCCAAACAGTTCTTTAGGGGTTGTTTGGGAACAATTTTATTTTTTATTTTTTTTTAGCTTTATTTATGTTTTGATTTGAAATAAAATATGTGACATTTTTTATTAAGATATGGTTGTTTAAAAATTATTTTTGAGTGTTTTGGAAAACATCTTAATTTGAAAAAAAATTAATAAAAAATCTAGTACTTACAGTTTGAAAAAAACGCACTCATTCAGATAAAAAGAAGGGAAATTTACATACATACTACACAATTTTTATGTATTTACATATCTAACATCTTAATTTTAAATGGAATATATGTAAATATGAATGTATAGGTGCTAGATATGTAAATACATAAGAATTGTATGGTATGTTCGTAAATGCCCACAAAAGGAAAGCTTTATATTCAATTTGGTATCAAAGCACATTGATAAAATTCCTTCTTTCTTGAGTAAATGAAGGAATCATTTTTCTATTATGTAGCATTTGATTGGAAGTTTCATGGGGTCCTCGTAATATTCTGGATAAAAATAAATGAAAACCTCCCCAAGGTTCTGCTGCTTCAAAACTGTGTTTTCTACTTATTTTTTTTTTATTTTTAAAGAGAAATGTTTAAATAATTAGTTCTATTTTTAAAAAAAATAATAAATGATAATGACGCGTCAGTGTGAAGCCTGAAAATCTACTGCAAGCTCTGGTGGCATGCCATGCAAGGATGAGTGTAGGTTGAGCGGAATCTTGTGAGATGTAACATATCATCAATATCATCATTCATAGCTCAAATATTTGGGGCCAACTTAGGGTCCGTTCGCGGCATCCACAACATTTTTTAAATGTGGTTGTAATGTTGTGGTGGAGCAAGGAAGAAAGGTGGAGAAAAATGATTTTTTTTTATTCCTCAATAATTAAAATACAACTCTTCCTTCTTGTATAATAAGGAACGGCCAAGGCAAAATTAAGCATAACAATTACAACTTATTAAAAAAATATAAGTTAAGAAATAAAGAAATATGACATAACCCAACCTTCCCCTCTTTCCCCCATAAAGCTGGGTCATTGATGTTGTAAAGGCCCAGCTTGGTATTCAAATCAATGAAATTGCCTGGAGGTAGAGATTTAGTGAAGACATCAACGACTTGAAGATAAGTTGGAATATAGATTAAGTGAATAATGCCTCCAATGATATTTTCAAAGATAAAATGTTTATCAATCTCAATGTGTTTGGTCATATCATGATGCACAAGATTCTTTGCAAATATTAATAGTAGCTTGGCTGTCACAAAATATCTTTATGGGATTAACAATATTGTATCCCATCATTTAGTAACCTTTGGATCCATATTCCTTTACAAATTCCCAAAGCAAGTGTCTGATACTCAGATAGTGCACTACTTCAAGAGACAACTGCTTGCTTCTTAACCCTCCAAGTGACCAGGTTTTCCCAAATATAGGAACAATACACAGAAGTGGATCTTCTATCAATGAGTTCTCCTGCCCAACTAGCATCAGTGTAAGCCTCTATCTCCCTAATGTCAAGGGTTTTCTTAAGAAACCTCAACATTTTATAAATCATCTCTAAATATTTTTTATTTGGACTATTCATATGTTGACTCACTATGCTGACAAAGTAAACAATATCAAGTCTGGTGGCTGAAAGGTAGATAAGCTTACCATTCAATCTCTAGTATCTAATCATTTTCTCTGGTGTTTTTTCTCCCCTTGAATGTAACTTTTTGTTGAACTCTATAGGAGTCTCATCAAGTTTGTACCCCAGCATTCATATTTCTTTCAGTATATCTAAAATAAACTTTCTTTGGGATATCACAATACCCATCTTAGACCTAGTCGCTTTATGCCAAAAAGTATCCCATCGCTCCTAGATCCTTCAATTCAAACTCAGTGGCAAGTACCTCCTTAATCTTCCCAATCTCCTTTTCATCATCACATGTCAGGATCATGTCATCTATAAAGACAATGAGTATTTTTACCTCTGTGAATGCTTGATGAACAGTGTATGATCCACTTAGTATTGGATGTACCCATTAGATTTCATAGTCTTGGCAAACTTGTGAAACCAAGCCCTTGGAGATTGTTTAAAACTATAAAGTACTATTTTAGTTTACAAACCCGATATTTTTTTGAATCATTTTGCAGTCTTGGTGGGATTTTCACATACACTTCTTCCATGATATCTCCATTTAAAAACGCATTTTTTAAACTATATATATCAAGTTTATATAGTTCTCACACTTTTTTCAGTGTAAAGGAAATAACTCTTACGATGTTTAACTTTCTCACTGTAGCAAATGTCTCTTGATAGTTTATCCCATAAAATTGAGTGAAACATCCGGCTACCTACCTGGTCTTTAAACTCTCAATGTTTCCATCTACTTTGTACTTAACATTGAACACCCATTTGCACCTAATATGTCATTTATCTGGAAAAGGTTTTGCATTCAGGTCAAAAGCTTGGATCTCCTCTTCAATTGCCTTTTTTTATTCTAGACTTTGTAATACTTCATAAATGAACTTGGGCATCTGCACTATATTAAAATTAGATACAAAAATTTTAAAAGTTGATAATAACTTCCCATATGAAATTTAATCCAGTGTAGAATAATTAGTGAAAATTACCCTATCTACTCCATTGGATTCCACCTCCATTGGAACCTTAGATAAGTGTGAATTTAGGTTTGGTTTTGAATTGTCTTGTGATTGCATATTATCTTAATATTGTTTAGTGAATTTTTTTCTCTAAGTATAAACATGAAGTTCCTTGTTGTCAATCTCAGGTTGGATGTTCTCGACTAGTGAAACTTAGGAAACAAGATGGTTAAAGGGAAGTAGAATAGGTTGTGATGCCTCTAGATCAGTGCGGATATCCAGAATAGTATCTCAAGTTTAATATTCACTGGGACTCTCCCCCTGAACATCAGATTTGAGATAGTAGGGTTGATTTTCAAAGAATGTAACATCCATGGAGTTATGATATTTTTCTGTAATGCAAGAATAGCACTCATACCACTTTTTATTAAAAACATACTCAATGAAGATACATTTGATGAATTTTGGATCAAATTTTCGCAGTTTTGTTGGTGAATGTAAGAAAAAGAGCGCTAAATATTATACGAGGAAGATTGGGTGATAAGACTAACATGAGGGTATTTTTCCATCACAATATAGAGAGGGGTGTTGAATCCAAGGACCCTACTTGACATTATATTAATGATATAGATAGTTATGAGCACATCATCTCCCTAGAAAATTTTTGGGACATTGCTAGAAAGCATTATAGATTGAGATATCTCGAGAAGATGTTTATTCTTTCTCTCAGTTATCCAATTTTGTTGTGGAATTTTAACACGGGAACTCACATTGATGATCCCGTTCTTCGCAAGCAGGGTTCAAAGAAAGAGTTGAAATATTCATTTGCATTATTAGTTTTGAGAATCTGAATTTTATATTGGAATTAAGCAGAAGCATGTTATGGAAAGCTGAAAGATTTGTGCAGCTTCTGATTTTTCCTTCAAGAGGAATATCCAACTGGTTCTAGTGTGATTATCAACAAAAGAAACAAACCATCTTAGCTCCATTGACGGTTTTCAATTTTGATGGTTCCCAAATATCAATATAAATGATAGAGACTTTGAGGGTTTGTCTTGGGACAGAGGATAGTCATAACGAGTATGTTTAGCCAATTGGCAAGTTTCAAACTATAAAACTCTAGTTTTTTATTAATAAAAAGACGATGGTACAACTTTGCAACTTCATAAAAATTGGGATGATCCAGATGATAATGTCATAATAAAACTTGACTTTCAACAAACTTAGACACAATTGACTTAGAAGCATAAGAAGGAGAAATTGAATAAGACAATTGTGTGTTTAGAAAAAACTTTGCTTTAGTAGATAAAGACTTTGATGTAATTTCGTGCTGTCAATCATCTTCCCAAAATCTACCACCAAAAATTTATAAGAATTAGAATGAAATTTAGTAACATAGTTCAAGTCATGAGTAAGCTGCTAATTGAAACTTCCAATCTAATTGTGGAACATATAGAACAGAAGAGAGTTGAATATCCTTGAAGGCTTTTACATCTTTTTTCCCAACAATACTAAAGTAAGATCCACTAACAAGTATATCAAATTTAGAGTTCGTGAACTTTTAGTAGTTGGTGAGAGCATGAATATCTCCAGTCATGTGATCAAAAGCACCTAAATCTATTATTTAAGGTAAAAATCTTCCATTGTTAGCGAGATAAGACGACATATACCTTGATGTATCATCAAACTGATAGGCCGCTCAGTTGCGCTCGAACAAAGTTTTTTCAACACATCCAATTATTCCTTGGTGAAGGGACTAAAATCTGTCTACACTTCAGACGAGGTAGCAACATAAACCTTGTCGTTTTGATCTTTCCGCTCTTACCCAGGTCTTCAATCTACAGGTTTTCCATGTAGTTTCTAGTATTTATCCTTTGTTTAACCAAGCTTCTTGCAGTGTTCATCTAAGGAATGATTTTTCTTTGACTTTGAATCATGGGAGGAGTTGTGCATTTACAAAGCGGGGCTTTCAGTGCTAAATGAATCCACACTTCCTCACATCATGAGTTTTTTCCTAGTTTCTTTTCTTCTGATTTCAACAAAAGCTTCTCTCATGATAAGGAGAGGCTTCATCCCCATAATTCTTCATCTGATCTCATATAAGTTCTTGTTTAGACTCAATAGGAACTTAATCATCCTCTTCTTTTTTCATTATTATTACTTTATACAACATAGCATTTGGAGGGCTTTCCATACACAAGGATCATACATATCTAACTATAATCAGTACATTGTAAGTCTAATTAAGTATTGAGACACACGCAACTTTTATTGTCGGAGTTCATGTAATTTTGTCTCAATCTCAAACAATTTTGCAGTATTTTCGGTATTGGAATAAGTCTCACAAACTGCTTCCCAAATCCCCATGTTGTCTTATAAAGTAATAAATTTTCTCCAATTTTCGTGGTCATAGAATTGATCAACCAAGAGATGATGATGAAAATTTCACGAGCAATGGTTAGAATTAGTGAACTCAAGAACTCTGCCCTCTCTCGTGAGATATTCTTATTTTCCTTTTCCACAACAACAACAACAACAAAGCCTTATTTTCCTTTTCCAAAAATGAATATAAACACGGATTGAAACCATTAAAGAAGTTTATGGCCATGGAGTTTATGATTTGTGATAAATTGAGAGGGTAATTGAGTTGTTTGGACAATACTTTTGCTCTATAATTCAGAACTAACCTTCAGAGTAGAGCTATTTATGTTGTACTTGTCATAAACCCTATGCATGTTTAGAATTGAAAAGAATGCATGGATGATTATGTTGCTTGCTTAAACGATGAACAACGACGAACGGTTGGAAGGCTGGGAAGGATCGAACGGTGAGAATTTTTGGAAGGTCGGATGGTGAGGAATGTTAGAAGGCTGACATGCTTCTTGTGGCTTCTCTATTTGCCCGAGAAGGAGCTTCTTGCGACTGCTCTGGTGGAAAACAGCAGAGAGAGGACACTGATAGGTTCAAATTTTGAGAAACTAAATGATATTAGATTCAAGCTAGTTGGAAGTCGGCGGGATCGTAGCATGCAAATCTCCATCCCGCATGCCTTCATGACTAAACAATGTGATACAGTTGCAAAAAGATGTCACTTTGAAGCAAGGGATCGAATTGCATACAAGGCATGAAGACTATATTGCGGCGTATAGGTCTCCGTCACTTGTGCCTTCATGACTGAGTTGTGCAATGATTCAAATCACAAAGGCACCGATCTAACAAAAAACTGCAAAAAGAAGCCTGGAGGGAGATGCTATAGGGATCCGACTGCAAGGAAGGATCCGACGGAGGGCCTGCAGGAACCGACAACTGCAGAGAGAGGCTCCGATGGAGGAATGAGAGCAAGGGTTTGTTTCCATGCTCTGATACTATGAAGAAAGGTGGAGAAAAATGTATTTTATTATTTTTCGATAATCAAATTACAACTCTTCTCCTTTTATAATAAGGATAGGTTAGGACAACATTAATTACAACTAACCAAAGAAAACATAACGCAAGAAAGAAAGAAATATGATAAAATATGAATAAAATAAAAATAAAATAGGAAATTCAAAATTTCACAGGAAATCTATTTTTTAGAAAATTGTAGTAGAAATTATAGATAACTATTTTTTTTTCTAAAAATTCAAATAGCGGTTTTCTTATAGTCACCACACTTTAACGGATTTGGTTTAAAAAATCCGCCTCGCACTACAAAATTTCTAAAACAGTAAGAAAACAATTTCTCAAATAAAATTGTGGTGGTGGTCTGAAATGCAACGCAGACAGAAGGTTGTTCTAAACAGAACATACATGAATCATTCATCTCCATTCATCCCCAAAAGTGATGCGTGAGGTGTTATCCCGACTATTTAGGTGCAGAAGTTTATATTACTAAAATCAAGCTTTTCTGCTCTAATTTATACAATTATCAGCAACGACAAGAACCAAAGGTAGCACTTTAGAGTTCTAATGGGTGCCACTAAAAGTACCAATTATCACAAATGAGTGATTGACGTGCCAAAACTACACTGAGAAGTAGGAAATGTTAAAAATTGGAATCCTTAAATACTAAATCCTATGAAAGTAACCTTTGATCAATTTAAAGCGATTCCGAAGGACTTATAAAGGATTCATAAACGGCTTGAAGAGCATTACTAATGGTTTGAATGAAGATGCACATGTTCCATTTATAATAAATTTTTCATTTTATTTCCGCTTTCCATTCCAAGGAAAAAATTTGTTACGTTTTACACAAAAAATATATCATAGCAACTCCAAAATAGTATTGCAACCCTTATGCTTTAAGGTTTTCATGGCAGAACCAAATAAGCGCAATAAGATATGCTAACAGCACAAGATGCGACCAGACAAACATTGAGAATAAACAATGGGTCATAAGAGAAAATAATTTCCATGGATGGGAAGTTATCACCATAAAGCAGAAACAGTGACCTTGAAAAAAACTGCTTCAGGGTGATTGCACACAGCACATCGAACAGATCTTGTACGAGGAAGAGTGGGATCCACTGCTACATCCTGTAGAATTTGATTGTGCTCACCATTTGAATGATTAAGCTCACATTTATAGACACAGTAGTCATCAGCCTCTTCCTGAGAGAAGATATTCTTCTAATTCAATGAGTCTATAATGTAAGTTCTTCGACAAAAGTATATATTTTATAAAAATACTTGATTTTGGTGTAAAAAATATTGCACATAATAAGCAAGACGACCTTCACCAAGTAAAAGTGCTGCGCATTATAAAACCAGGTAACAGTAACATCATTGATGTCCAAAATCATTCGCTGAAAAGATAAAAAATTTTAGCCACATCTATAAGAACACACAATTAACCATGCATATGTTGAATTTATATATGTTCATCATGCAAGGTCATCATTTCCTATTTGTTCCTAATAAGTGTTGCATGAGGTTTTAAACCTATTATGTACAAAATTATTCGAAAAAATTCTATCGATATTATCTTAGGGAAACCATTTTTCCTTTCTTATTCTTTGAAATTATATTACAAACTTGTCTGATGGCATATTTTTTTACCATTCATTGTACAAAATTATATTACAAACTCATTATACTTGATGGTTCTAGAAAATCAAAGAAATGAGTAGCATCATCTCTTTTCAAATTGACTAGTGTTGAAGCCAAATCGTCGGGCATCTATTTGATGAATTTTAAATGTCTAATAAACATCATGCTATTGTGTTCCAATATTTTCTCAACATCTTTGGTGGTTTTTTAAATAGTTTCATCAATTTGGGGGTGCATTCCTTCTCCAATCAATTGATGAATTCTTTAGTTGTTCAGTTAATCAGCCTGCTCTCTTGGAAGCTAATGTTGTTTTAAAACTCAATATAGGGTTCTTCTTTTGATCTATTCTTCAGAAGCTTGTCTCCTAAGTATTTTGTCTTTTAGATACTTATATAATTTTTTAAATCTAATAGTTTTTTTTTTTTCTGAAAAAGAGATTTAATGAGCTATAAATCTTGGTCCCCAAATAAGTTGACGATATTGTCACCCCAAATGAGATTTGTCGTGTAGCATTTGGCTTCCTTTTGAACATGTCAAAAGAGCGAAGGATCTTAGAGCATTGTTTAAAAGCTCAAACAACTTATAAGAATAGACTATAGAATATGTGATAGCTCAAATTCTCAACCATCGAGATATTATTCATCTTGATATAAAAGCCTCAATATTTTATTCCCTTGTTGTAACTTACTAAGGGTTACACATATGAATACACTCAACTTTGAAAGTTCTGAAGAAATTTCAATATTTACACTTAAAGGTATCTCAAGGTTAAAGAGTTCAACTTTATTATACTCAACGGTTTCACAGTCACCTGAGTTGAAGTAACTGACATCCTCATTAACCTAGATCATCTACCTAAAAATGTTCTTGTATCCATTTCGCCTTTAAGTTGCTTCTAACATCTTTTTTTAAACTAATTTCCTACTAAAAAAAAGAATTAATTGAGTTATAAACCTTTGTTCCCAAATTAATAAGTCGAGTACTTTGTCATATAGCATTTGGCTTCTTTTTAAACATGTCAAAAGACTTGAGGCTTTCACAACACAATTCAAGACCACAAAACTCACATAAGAGATATTGGATGTATAGAATATAAAATTTATAACATTCTTATTGAGTGCTAGAAAATTTTCAACGGCTAAGAAATCTTAAGCCTTAGCATAATAAAATTTTTCAGCATACACAAATATATATATATATATATATATACATACATAATAGACAACTAATTTTTTTACCTGAAAAAATCTTAGAAAAAAAGGAACATAGGGTCTAACATAGAGAAAGTAATCCACTAAAAAATTGAAGTTAAGATGTCCACTCTGCTCCTCAACTAGAGATATGATATTATGAAAATTATCAATCCCAAATGTATAGTAGTAGTTTGTCTACAACAATTATAATTGGGCTACAAAAACTATAGTTGGTGGCTGCAATAATAGTAGGTGACTATAAATGTTGTAGTTGGGTTATAAGGAGCAGTAGTGTGGAAGAAGAGAGAGGTTATAGTAGCAGTTCGTTGCAATAATTGATGGTTGTGGTCGACAATGATTGATGATTGTTCACATGCACAACTCTTCAAGAGTTAGATTTTAGCTGTCAGTTCAATCTTCTCTTCTCTTCCCTCTCCTTCAAGTGAAGCATGAGAATCTATTTATAGTTTTTAATATGAGTATTTTTATAAATTTAGTCAAAAATCTGAAAACACTCTATTACATAGTCCACAATGATTCCCTCGATCAAAAGTAAAGGTGTAAATGAGCCGAGCCCAGGCTCAGCTTGTGTTCAACTCGTTAAAAAATATCATTGTTCGTGTTCGGCTCATTAAAAAGTATCACTGTTCGTGGAAGGCTCATTTACATATCAAGCTCAAAGAATTTGCTCGTGTTCAGCTTGTTTGTTTATCGAACCGAACACGAGTTATTCACGAACAACAAGTCATTTTGATAACCCTAGTCATACAGCTGCAGGATATTAAGGATAAGTGCGAGATTAAATTTATTATTTATATTAAATTATTCATTTAAATATAATTTAAATATATTTTTCTTCATAATTTTTAATTAATAATTTTAAAGGATTATAAATCTTTATAGTTTTGTAGTTAATTAAATTATTTTAAAATAAAACCCATCAATATATATATAATTTGATTATTTCTAGCAAAAACGAGTCGAACAAGAGCAAACAAATATTTGTTCATGTTCGGCTTATTTATATATCGAGCGCAAAAAAATTGTTCATGTTCGGCTCGTTTGCTTAACGAATGAATTAAACACGAGCAATTCAACAAGAACATGAGCTGTTCGCGAACAAAAAACCATTTTGACAGCCCTAATCATTGGTTATTTTCAGTGTTTAAGTGTGAACGACTATTAAATTAGATGATTTTGAGCTCATTGGACATCTCATCAAGCAACTCAATTTGACTATAAGCAAGCCAAATTTAGAGATTATTTGGTCTTTCAATTGATGCACCAAAGCCTTCGACAATACCTTGATCTAGGCTTATATGGAATCAAATTGGATCACTTTCAGCATAATGAGGTTTGTATTATTGAGATGCTCAGCATAAGTATAAATTTGTTGAAATCTGAGCTTAGAAGATCCTGGATTTGAATTTGAAAAATCTTTTACCCAAAATGCATCAAAATTTATGCTTGATCATATAAATTTCTCGATGAAATATCAAGCCTGAATTCTCAAACATCTAGATATTATCCGCGTTGTTCTAATTGTCGTAAGTTTTTTTTTTTCCTTCTGTTTAACTTTCCAAGGGTCGCAAATCTCAAAAGGACTATCCTGCGAGCACGCTTAACTTCAAAAATTTTCAACAATTCCACCAAAAGATTCATTGATACTTAAGGATTTAGTTTTATTATGTTTAGACGATTTCACAATCTCATACACTTAAATAATTAACATTCACATCAATATCTTTATATATAACTAGAATCATCCACCACCACAACAACAACAACAATAAAGCCTTAATCCCACTACGTGGGGTCGGCTACAGGAATCCTTTTTCTCCATTATGTCTTATTTAGTGTCATATTTTCATTTAGTTCTAATAAATTAAGATCATTTTTTATGCAAGAAGCCCAAGTCTTCTTAGGCCTACCTCTGCCTATCTTAACATAAGAATCATCCACCGTGTAGATAAAATTATAGGGGTATCCCTTACATATTTGTAAGGTAGCTCCTATGATGTAGCACTCTCCTGCACGAGCAGTCTTAAGTTTGGAGCTTCTGATGAAATCTCAATTGTTACACCTTTTATATTAAAGAGCTCAGCTTTATCATGCAGTTTTCACATAATCAACTTGTGCAAGCCCACTAAATCAAAAGGTGAGAAATCATCCTCAAATGTAGTTCATACCCTCGTACGTGAGTCCAACAAGATTAAACCCTAAAGTTCAAATACCCAAAAGTTCCATCTTATCCCTCTAAAATTATTGCAAAATACAACATAGTCATAATGTTCCAACGATAATTAAAAAACCTCGTACAAATTTCAAAACCCTTAAAAGATCAAAGTTCAAATTTCAATCTCAAGAAGGAAAGATCAGACCCACATCAACAAAAACTAAAAAGAAGAGATCAAGGAAGATGATATCAGAACCTGGTGATCGCAGTTACCGCAGACGTAGAGTAAGATCCTGCGCTCCCTATCTTCCTTAGGGTGGAGTATGTTATCGCTGAAAATACACACACAGAACAGAAAAAATATTAAGGAATCACCATTAATAAAACAAATAAACCTCACAAAGTGATTTCATGACGAGAGTTTTCTTACCATTCGCGACAGAACTTCAGGGTACTCATAGCTGCCTGCGAGTCGGGCGTCGTCCTATTCTCTGTATTCCGCTAAGCAATGGTTTAAGACTTTAGAATCTAAAGTCGTAAATTATGGGGCAGTTTGGGGCGAGAAATATTTTAGTACGGACGGTTTATATAGGGGTTATTATATTTATCTGTAATTTAGAAATATATTTATCTGTAATTTAGAAATATATGAAAATAAAAATGTGGAACTTACTAATTACATATAGGTTACAAGTAGGTTGCAGTGGGTATAACGCTGATGTAACTCTCAATATCTTTTCTGTAAGCTATCAAGTGTAGGCAGCTCCTCGTTTGGGGGACAACTTATTTGGTGCAGAGATATTTTGAAAACGCACTAAATCTATTTGGATAAATTATTTTTTCGCAGCTTATGTGTTTTCAAAATGCTGAAAACTTTTCACACCGCACATATCTATGTGCGGTTGGAGCTTTCTGACTACAGTTGGCTTTTCCAAAAAAATAAAAATTTTAATAACCACCGTGCCTAACTTATCAGCAGATTAATTTTAATCAGCTTATCAACAGATTATTCAAGAAGCTGTACATGTCCCAACCAGACCATATGTTGTTTCGAACCACTAAATTATAGCACCGAATGGGCTAACCAGTTGTTTGGTAGCACATTTAAGAGGATTTAGCCAATCAATTTTACCTAAATCTAGTTAAATATTAAGAAAGATAAAACCATATCTAACTCTCCATTAAATCTAATTCTCCCGCTTCATTTGTCTCTCCCCCGTTGCATCTCCCATGCAAAGTAAATTCAGATTTATCAAATCCGAATGTGAGGCGAATTACAAAGATTTATTTTGTCGTAGCTCGTGTCCTCCATCTCTGTCATGAGCTCACAGGATTTCACTGATTTGATAAATGTAAATCTATGGTTCCGACTGAATGGTTGTTTGGTAGCACACTCTTAACTGTATTTAGTCATGAATTTCGTATTAATCCAGTCAAACATCAAAAAAAGAAAAAACTAAATCTAACTCTCTCCTGTTCAATCACTTTCTCGCCCGTTTTGTCTCCTCTATGTGTAAATTCGGGTTTATCAAATCCTACTGTGAGGCGGATTTCACAAATTTACTCTGTCGTTGCTCGCGCGCTCCAACTCCGCTATGTCCATCGCAGCACTGTCGGATTTGATAAATCATACTTAACGTAAATCTACAGTTGTAGCGAAACACCCCCTAAGACAAGCACAGCAGATGTCAAGAAAATTTAGCCGGCTGTCAGCAGAGTTGTCACTATATAAAATTTTTAAAAAATTGATAAAATAAGATGAATAAACAAAAAAGCAATTACATGCCAACCACATAATTAATGCATTTACAAATCTAACATCTCATATTTCATATTTATATAAATAAGACTCAAATCATCAAAATTAGACACTTTCGTTTTAAAAGTTAAATACATATTTTCATTTATAGGACTATGACACTAAAGTGGTATAAAGATAAATATTAAATTTTAGGTGTTATATATGCATATAAGAATTGTGTGGTATGTATGTAAATTTCCCATAATGAAATTAAAATCAATACAGTAAGGAATTAGACGATGTTTAGGAGTAGTGTAAATACGTAAGAATTGAGTGGTATGTATGCAAATCTTCCTTTATATTATCGTTTTGTTTAAATGTTTACTCTCTTGTGTGTGTGTTAGCCTCCACATCTCAATTGGGCAACTAGTTTTTGTTACTTTTTAAAAAAAATTTGATCAACGGCTATATTTACTAATATGTGGTAATTATAATTTACTGTCCAATTTAAAGGAAAATTGTCCCGTTAAGGAATTGATGAAGAGGATGGGACGTGTCAACGCTCCCAGGATGAAGAAAGAGATATTGAAGAAAGACAAGATAGATGCACCGCTTCACAAGAAGACCCCGTCATCCCGCATTTTTTGCAAAACTCCGCCTAGGAAGGTGAGTCGTCACTGATGTCACCGCCGCCGTCACCGGTATCAACACCTCAGGAGGAAGGCTAATCCAGTCATGATTGGGACCAAAGTTATCGTCCGCTGAAAAACCCTAAGAGGCAAGGGAAGCCAGTAAATTTGTTGCTGCAGTATCTGACTCGCATGATACGGGACACCCTTCTCTCCATCATACGGATGCCATCAACATGACACCCCGTTTCCTGACATCCGTGCCAAAAGGGAAGAGGTGGAGACCTAGAGTTGTCGGTCAGATACTACCACACACACACACACACACACATATATATATATATATAGCATTAATATAAGTTATGCAGCTATTATCATATTGGGTCTTGTTCTTTTATTTTGTGTCTCCCAAATATATTTCAAATATTTTTATTTATTTAGATACTCAAACACGACATCGAAAGTAATAAACAATCTAGAACAGTTACTCAAATAAAAATTTTCATTCAATATTTGATGGGTCTGCATTTAAAAAAATAAATATTCTCCCTGCATAACATGGAGGTTAGATACGGCTTACATTAATCTGAGTCATAAACTTCTCATAAAGGCAAACTCTTATAGTTAATTACATCTTAAAATTAAATATGTTAAAAAACTCTTGATTTAGCTGAAGTTATTCTTTAAAATTTTTAATGTTTAGTTTCTATAATTTAAATTTGAAATTTCAAGCTGAAAAGATCAATATGAAACAGTATTTTCTGGAACCTCAAGGAAAAAAAGGAAGAAATGTCATGATAATGAGAAGCTGATTGATATCTTGCTGTCCTACGGTTGAGCTTTAGTGATTTTAAAATAAAAGAGTTTACAACGTTATCTAATCATAGGAAAGCTTTGGAGGTAAGTACTTGTGTCATGCCAAGATGAATAGCCATAGAACCCTAATTATAAAGGTGAGGCCTGCTGAATAAATAAAACCTTGAACATAATCTACCGAGAATGCAAGGGAAACAAGCTTATAGTTCAATCCCATAAAGAACTAAACCAAGCCCGCCTTCACTAGCCTTGCGATCCTGTTTGGATTGGGTCACCAACTAAACCCACCCGACATCTCAAAACCATCGCGTTTGGTCTTATGAAATGTTGGATAATGTAGAATGTTATTTATTAAAGAGAGAATAAAGGTCTTAGAACTTTCTGACTATTATTGGAGAGTTTATATTAACAAAAGACCTTCATTATCATTTAAAGTTCGGGGCATGCGTATAACTTTAAGAGGTTCATAGCTGTTGTAATGAGTAGATTTAGTTCAAATGTTGCTTTTGTAGGAGTTGCAGGCAATGGTGTAGCAAGATTTTGTGGGAGAATGAATTTATACAATGCTTTTGTAAATCTCGCCAAAAAAATTAAATTAAATTAACCACAAGGGTTTGAATACCTCTCTAAAGGAATTAAATGGAGAAGATCACCAAACAACTTTAAGGAAAAATAATCACAAAATTACCTTAAGACACTTGAACTCAAGCATAAATAAATTTATTACTTGTGAATGAATTCAATGGTTACATAAATTACTTATATAATGGCTTTTGATATCCTGCCAACCTTTGAGTATCTATAGTTTATAAGAAAAGATGTCTAAGGCTAATAAAAATATAATGCATGGATTTTGGACATTTATTATTAGATATTACATAAAGGAAGTAGGAATGACATTGAAATAAAATTTTGTAAGTTTTCTCCAAAGTTTATTTTGGAGTAAGTTGTTCTAATTCATCACATGTTACATCATTACAATGGGTGGGGGTTGTGGGGAGGAAAACATATAAATAGGGAATAGAAATCTAGCATTTTATAATGTCCTCATGTTTGATGTTGACCTTCTTCACATAAATTAGTAAGTATTTGGTCCTTGTATTTCATCAGTGCAAGTATAGTATTTTTTATCAAATCTTTTGAGACACATAGATATTCCTTTCATTGTCAATGTAAAGGCCTCATTATTTTGAAATGTAAGTTATTGTGTCTCCTGCAATCAATAATTTTATGAATTTTTCTCTAAAAATTTTTAATGGGGGTACGAATAACACTACAAAATTTCTGACTATTTTCGACGATCAAAACCCTTTGAAACTATTAAAATATTGTCGGTTCTAAAAAAATCAACGTCTTTCTGATGGGCAAATGACCATTGCTTTTTCGTCTGTCGGAAACGCTAACTTCAATGAAATTTCTGATGACATAATTTATCGACGACATTCGGACGGGTAACATATCAGACATAATTTCTGACAAGTATTTCCCTTCATTTCATGTCAAGCGAAGAAGTGGCGTACAGTTGTCAGCATGTCATCAATTTTATGATTGATAGGAGTTGTCCATCGATTTATAGCATATCGATAGCCCATTGTTAAAGCTATCGGTTTGTCGTCGGAAAAATGTACATAAAAAAATAAAGAACGCCAATTATTTTAATAAAATTTTCACACCTACAGTCACATTATAGAATCATATAAAATATACATCAGACAATCAAATTTACCTATTCACACAGGTACTAAACTAAAAATATATGAATACAATAACAAATTGAAATAAAATCAAGTATAATGCATTAAACAATAGAAAATGAAATAATTTGTACATAACCCAAAAAAATATATGTATATGTCTCATATCCAAAAATGAAATAAAAACAATCCTAGTTCTCAGATGTCTCCTCATGTTGCCAACTCGGGTCTCTGTAAAAGTAGTGAATGCAGTAGCCTGCTTACGAATTTCATCATATTAGATTAGAGTTGTAAGGAGTGATGTGTGTCGTACCTATGTGTCTGTGACCCCAAACCATAAATTATTCCTTTCATTTCCCCTCAATGAATTCTCTCTAAAGCTCATCGTCCGACTTATCAATTCCACGGACATAAAGTCCTCTTGTGCTCTGAATCTAAGCTCCCTTCTACCACTCACACTCTTCTTACAAAAAAAAAACTGCAAAAGATAGTTTGAGATGAAATTAAATTCAAGAATAATTGTAATTATATAAAAATTACTCAATCCACTTACATATATTACCCTTGATTTAGTGCCAACCCACTGGCGATATGACTTATGTTGATCAGTACAAGCATGTAGCTTAGCGGTACTAGGCTATCATCCAAACTAAAGTGTCTGTTA